ACGTGAGCAGCGGTCGGCGGCCGGGTTTGCGTCTGTTGCTCATGTAATTTTTTTATTTTTTGTTTAGTGCGTCGAGAAGCCGCTTGCGTGGGCGGTGCACACGGTGCGGCCGCTGCGCTCCTATGTCTCGGGGCGGGTGATGCTGATGGGCGATGCCGTGCGTGCCTTGCTTGAACTGGTAACAGTGTACTCACGTCGTTTTTCGCGCAGGCACACGCCATGACGCCGCATCAGGGGTGCGCTTCTTCCTCGTGTCGCGTCGTCCCCGCTGACGGATCTTTTTTCAATGTGCAGCTCCGGTGCCGGGCAGGCCATCGAGGTACCGTCCCGCCCCGTCCCGTCCCGCGCGGACGCCGCTGACCGCCCGCAGGACGCATACATCATCGCGACGGTCCTCGGGAACCCCAACACGACGCGCGAGACGCTCCCGCGCGCGCTGCGCGCGTTCGACGAGACGCGGCGCCCGATGGCGCACCGCGCGGCGGAGGCGTCGCGCCTCAACGGGCGCTACTTCAGCCTCGCGGTCGACGGCGTGAGCTTCTCGGGCCAGCAGCAGTGGGACAACCTGCAGAAGCTGCACAGCGCGGTCGTGAAGAACTGGGAGTGGTGTGCGTCGTGTTTCCCCTTGCGCGCGCGCGCGTGCGCTCGGCGTTCGTCCGCTTACGTTCTGTGTTCAGGTTGGAATACGTCAGTGGACGGCTCGATCCAGGACGCGCTGCGCATGCTGGAGGGTTAGGTTAGGGTTGATCGTCGTCGGCGCATGATAGAGTGTGATCGCCCTCCGCCGAGATAGGCGGCGGATCGCGATCGGTGGTGGGTGGGAGTGGGTGCTCGTGTGTTTTCCGACGGAATCGCGCTTTCGGATATCATGGGATCGCTTTGGGGGTTGGGGTTTTTTTTTTCATGCCGGAAGTGCTGTACAGAATACAATTGTATATATCCCACTCACGCAACTTGGTCGTTAAGGAACGCGCGCTAGTGGGGTTAGGAGGGCGGCAGTTGGAATTGGGGTGCATTACCGCGGGCGTTCGACGCCGTGCGCACAGCTGTTCTACGCGCTGCTACGCGGCACAGAACCTTGATCGCCAGAATAAATTGCCGGGCGCTCGAACATGCCGGTACATCCATCCTTCCTTCCGTAAGTGATGTGCCTCATCTCAGCATCCCTCCAAGAATGTTCGGCCGCCGTAAGCGTCGCGGTGTGGAGCAGGTACAGACAGCGAGGACGCATTCGCCGTGCCATTCCGGCAGGTTGCATCGCCATAGCACTTGTGGCTTTAATGCTGTCTATACCACGACAGCAGGCATGGATGCCTGAGAACCGAGTGTCACGCCCAGTCATTATAAACATGGCGGCAAAATAGAGTTCAGAAGATTGCGCATACAGTATCAGAAGATTGCGCGTATGGCAAGCGGAATGATTAGAGTCGGTTGGATTGAACCCCCGACAATAGCACTTGAATTTTGAACGTCACTCCATTGACGTCGTTCATGCTCGTAAGTACTAGCTGGCCGCCCGTCGTTTATTAAATAAATAAACCTTCCAGGTGGAAGGACGACGATAAAAAATGAAGTTATACACGCGCAGCCAAGACTACACCAGGATCGCAGATGAGGCGAAGCTGTTGAGATGCTGCCAGTGAGCTCCGCGCCGCGTCCGCAGTTTCGAGATCATGTTCTCGAAGCTGTCCACTCTCCCGCGGCGCAGCGTACCGTGTGTACCATAGAGTATCGGGCTCCCGCTCGCAGTCGGAGTCCTCCGCACCGGCTCACGAGCCTGAGGCAGATGCGCACACCGAGTCGCTGACTCGACGCTAAGGGCAGGTTGCGGAAAGGCGTGGAGCACCGGAGACACCTGTACGTCTTTTGGTTGCTGGTTGAGCACCTTTAACAGCGGTACTTTGGCGATGCGCACTACGAGTTTGGGGTGGGACCTTAGAGATGGACACGGCAGAGCGTACCGTGGCGATGCGCACGTCGAGGCGATGGTCCAGGCGATAAAGTTTGGGGCGGGTTATCGTGTAGAGTTCTTGGCGATGCGCACGTCGAGGCGATGGTCCAGGCGACAACTTGAAAGTTTGGGGTGGGTTACCGCGTAGAGTTCCTGGCGATGCGCACGTCGAGGCGATGGTCCAGGCGACAAAGTTTGGGGTGCGACCTTAGAGATGGACACGGCAGAGCGTACTTTGGCGATGCGTACGTCGAGGCGATGGTCCAGGCGATAAAGTTTGGGGCGGGTTATCGCGCAGAGCTCCTGCAGGTCGAAGGACGGAAGCCGGCACGCGGTGCATTTCAGGAGCATTGATGGTCGAGCGGATGGCACGTAGTGTTGTACTCTCAAGTGTAAATTGAGCTGTAGTGGCGCAAAGCATTATACATGCATTCCTACTTTCCATTCAAGTCTGGATAGTGCCTGGACTCCGTACCTCAGCATCAGAACCCCCAAAGCTAGCTGAGTTAGTCTTAGCTCCTACTAGTAGTACCACTGAGCGGACCCGGATTCTGATCTAGGGGCGATTTTCTGATATTTACACTGCGCATTTTTGTACTCGCAATTGGTTGGTGAGGGAGTCGCCTGCGGCTTCCATCTCGCCTGACCTGTCTCGTGAAGACGGCAACTGGTCGCCGATCGCCGAGCCGGCGGCTCGACAGAGCTTCAGATCGGAACATCGTGCCGGACTCCGCCAAACTGCCCGGCTTCTTTTTTCCGTATATGCCGTCTAAATTCGTGAATTTCCATCGTCAGCTACCTGCACTTTCTGATGCTAAGTACGCCCCTGGTCTTCTATAACGTATATCCTCCCTTTCCAACGCTCGTAGCCCTTCCCATCACCGCGAGTCCACCTTCCAGAAATGGTGCATCGGCCCGCCCGGATTTGCACTGAGGCGACCGGCCTGTCGCGGTTGAATATGCAGCCTGGGGTGCTTGACCCAACAGGTACCCTGATTCTTCATGCCGGAAGATGCTGTACAAATTACAATTGTATGTAGCCCGTCGTTAAGGAACTCGCGCTAGTGGCGTTAGGCTACTGTATTCGATCCCGTAAGACAGGTGCAGTTGGACTTGGAATGAAATGAAATGGATCAGAATCCGAGTTACCGCTAGGTTTCGCGAGCAACTGAGCAAGCTGCGCCTGCGGCGGTAAGGCGTATATCCCCCTGCGCAGCGCGCCGCGCGTTCAACGTTCAACGCTGACATTGATGCAGTCGTTACGCGGCACAGAACCATGATCGGCAGACTAAAATTGCCGAGCAGCAACTGCATCATCGTGCCGTCACGTCCTTCCTTCCGTTCCGTAAGTCCATCGGATCTGTACCTAACATCTTAGCATCCTCGGGCGCCGAACTTCCAGGAATGTTCGGAGGCTCCGTAAGCGTGCCAGTGTGGAGCACGGACAGCGCACATTCACTGTGCCATCCTGTGGCAGGTCGCATCGCCATAGCGCTGAGCCTAGTGGCCGTGTCTCCAATCAGGAATATTGTCCCATTGTCTGTGTAATTCCATCATGGATGGTTGCAGCCATCAGAACAGATTGTCGTACCCAGCCATTACGGCAGCGAATGATTGAAACCAGGACAGTAGCATTTTGAACGTCACTGCATTGTTCCTCGTTGGGACCGCTGCGGTTATAAATCCGCCCCTCCACTTGGACATTGTTTATGTTAGTACTAAGATCACGCGGGACGATGAGAAACTGAAAAAAAAAAAGTGGTATACACGAGCAGCTAAAAATACAACAGGGACGAGGCGAATTTATTATGGCGCTAAAGTGCCTGAGCTCGATGCAGATGATCCTCGTCGCTTCCGCAATTTGGAAAATTTGTTCTTGAGGCTGTCAACTCGCCCGCGGCGCAGCGTGCCATATGTGCCGGGCTCCCGCTCGCAGTCCGAATCCTCCACATCGCACTCGTCGAACTCGACGTGCTAAGTTAATGGTTATCTCGTCAGTCCGGATCACGAACGGCTCGAAGGAGATGCGCGTACCGAGTCGCGGAGGTCGAGGTGCGGGAAGGGCATGTAGCACCGCGGACAGCGGTACGTCTTTTGGTGTCGGTTGAGGATGCGCTGCAGCACGTGCACGTTTAACAGAGGCCGACAGATGGACAGGGCAGAGAGCGTACGTACCTTGGCGATGCGCACGTCGAGGCGGTGGTCCATGTGGTTCAGTTCGGGGTGGGTTATCGCGTAGTGCTCCTGCAGGTCCTCCCAGTGGTAGTACGGAAGCTGACACTCGGTGCATTCCAGGAGCATGATGAGCGATGAGGGCTGAGGGCTAAAGATTGATTTCGAGGGTGGGATGAGATGAGATGGGGTGTCGAGTGAAAGCTGGTGACTGTTTGTTCACGGGGATATAGGGATCTTATACCTGCGCCTCCATTTCAGACATGAATAGGGGACTCGGACTCGTCGGCGAGACACTCCTAAGTCATGCATCCGCGGGAGCCCGAACGGGCAACAAAAAGTCAGGCTTGTATCAACGCCAGTACGAGCTGCTGGCGCCTGAGGTAATACCGACGCAGAAAGGACTTGAACGAGACCAACTTGGGTCACGGGACTTCATATTCGGTTACTACAGAAGAAAAGTGGAGTGCCCTACCTCCGCCGGTGGATAGTTGAGGCACTCTGAGCAGAGAGTCCTGGGAACGACTTGAAGCTGAAGGAGAGATGCTTTGGTTGAACGCAGTGCAGAGTCCGATCGAACATGTTCATCACGTGACTACGTGATAATGCTTGAGCAGAATCCGGGCACAATTTCGACACATATTCATGGAGATATTGCTCAGTGCTTTACTAATCCACTGTCAAGTGAGAACTACAAGTTGGAGATTGCAAGTGTATTTTCGACCTTGTCCAACCTTGATTTATTTGCGGATCCTCGCCAAGACAAGATTGTTGTGATTTCGGCGATATCGGCGGACTCGCTGGCGGAGCTTGTATCGTTGCTACTCAGTCCAAGACTTTCAATAACCAAGTGTGAGTATGTATGTGATGTAATGTTGGGCATGTGGTGTAGTTGGCAACACACTCGCAGAGCATAAGTGCTGCGTTCTTTTCTTGTATGCGAGAGCTGTCTGGTTCAAATCCGGAAGTGTCCATCTTTATTTTGTTTTTTTAAATCCTGTGTTGTCTTTAGCATACGGTTTCTTCAGGCCCATCCCATCCTGTCCTATGAATCTCCTTCTTTGCATCATTCTGTAGCCGTTCAATCGCCACGTGCACGCTCAAGTTTATTCCAAAATATCAACCTGCGCATGCTTCATATCGTCTGATCCGCTGATCGATGGCGGATTCCTTCAATGTCCAGCCAACCTTCCTGTGTTATTGCGCTGGAATGCCAGACTTTCAATAACCCATTTCATGGCCCGCGCAGGATGGGCATCGGACATCTGGTGTAGTTGGTTAACACACTCGCTGACCATATAGGACTATGCGGATGGTATGCGAGAGATGTCCGGTTCGAATCCGGACATGTCCATATGGTCTTCAGCCCATTTTTATCTTTTTTTTATCCAATGTTGTCTTTTGTATACGGTTTCTTCAGGTCCGTCATATATGGAATCTCTCTCTCTCTGCATTATTCTGTAGCCATTCAATCACCTGTGCTGGTTGCTGGTTGAGCATGTTTAACAGCGGTACCGTGGCGATGCGCACTTCGAGGCGATAAAGTTTGGGGGTGTGTTAGAGATGGACACGGCGTACCTTGGCGATGCGCACGTCGAGGCGATGGTCCAGGCGATAAAGTTTGGGGCGGGTGAGAGATGGACATGGCGTACCTTGGCGATGCGCACGTCGAGGCGATGGTCCAGGTGACGAAGTCTGGGGCGGGTTCAAGTTATTGCGTAGATTCAGAGTTCCTGCAGGTCGAAGGACGGAAGCCGGCGCGCGGTGCATTCCAGGAGCATTGGTGGGGTGTAGTTGGCAACACATTCGCAGAGCATGGGTCAGGATATTCTTGTAAGCGAGAGCTGTCTGGTTCAAATCCGGAAGTGTCCATCCTTATTTTGTTTTTTCCCCTGTGCTGTCCTTAGCATACGGTTTCTTCAGGCCCATCCTGTCCTATACGTCGAATCTCCTTCTTTCCATCATTCTGTAGCCGTTCAATCGCCACGCTCAAGTGTATTCCAAAATATCAACCTGCTTCATATCGTCTGATCCGCTGATCGATGGCGGATTCCGTCAATATCCAGCCAACCTTCCTGTGTTAATGCGCTGGAATCCCAGACTTTCAATAACCAATTCTACGGCCCGCGCAGAATGAGTGTCGGACATATGGTGTAGTTGGTTAACACACTCGCTGAACATAACGATTGCAAGAAGGCGGATGCGAGAGATGTCCGGTTCGAATCCGGAAATGTCCATGTTCTTTGTTGTATTTTTTTCCTTTTATCCAGTGTTGTATACGGTTTCTTCAGGTCCGTCATATACGTGGAATCTCTCTCTCTGCATTATTCTTCAATCACATGTGCTCAGTTTCAATCCACATCAACATCGTTCGATCCGAGATTTTATTATCCGCAGAACTGATACGCTCAAAGAGCTAATACGTTCACAAAGGTTGTCCGTCTTTGTGAGCGTATCAGTTCTACGAATTCCGACACCTATTCCTGCAATATCCTCAGGCTCAAACGCGCGTCGAATTTCGATCCACCAATTCGTGATTTAAGAAGCCGAATTCATGGTAATCATGCCAGCAAAAGTAACTTTGGCGGGTCCATCGCCATAGCACTGAGATTCAGCCTAATGGCCTTGTTTCTGATCAGGAATAATAATGACCCATTGTCTATGTATTTCCATCATGGATGGTTGCAGCCATCAGAACAGATTGTCGTACCCAGCCATTACGGCAGCAAAAGAGAACAAGGCAACCGGGATGATTGAACCCAGGACAGTAACATCTTGAACGTCACTGCATTGTTCCTCGTTGGGACCGCTGCGGTTCTACATCAACCTCCCTCCACTTTGACATTGTTCATAATAGTATTAATCAGTTGTCCGCAAGTGAAATCCTCAAGATCACGAGGGATGATGATAAACTGAAAAAAAAGTGATATACACGAGCAGCTAAGAATACAAGGCGAATTTAGTATGCCGTTAAAGTACCTGAGCTCGATGCAGATCTCCGTCGCTTTCGCAATTTTGAGATTTTATTTTTGAGGCTGTCAACTCTCCCGCGGCGCAGCGTGCCGTATGTTCCGAGCTCCTGCTCGCAGTCCGAGTCCTCCACGTCGCACTCGTCGAACTGAGTTAGTTATCTCGTCAGTCCGAATCACGAACGTCTCGAAGGAGATGCGCATACCGAGTCGTGGAGGTCGGGGTGCGGAAACGGCATGTAACACAGCTGACAGCGGTAGGTCTTTTGCTGTCGGTTGAGGATGCGCAGCACATGCACATTTAACAGAGGCCGACAGATAGACACGGCAGAGAGCGTACCTTGGCGATGCGCACATCGAGGCGGTGGTCCATGTGGTCCAGTTCGGGATGGGTTATCGCGTAGTGCTCCTGCAGGTCCTCCCAGTGGTAAGTTAGTACGGAAGCTGACACTCGGTGCATTCTAGGAGCATGATGGGCGATACCGGGGGTCATTTTGGCGGGGCACCTTGATCAACCTACATGAACAAACACGGAGTATATATCAGATGCGACACACACACACAGTGGGAGTGCGCCACACTGATTCTATGTGCGCCACACTCTCCATCAATGTGGCGCGCTTGTTGCTCAAGGACGAAATGACAGGTTCGACCGGCATCCTAATATGGCAGTTTGATCCTTCGGCTGACCTTGGGACTCGGCGACGTTAAGCGACAGCCGCCGCGGCCATCACTGCCGATGAATGGTCGGCATATCTTCCCTTGTTTTACAGAAGGCATTTAAATTATCAATTTGGTATCAATTTTTTGCTGGGGGGAACGATGCCAGACCCCCCCTCCTTTTGCCTGACGGCCTGTACTAATTTTATGTGATTTTTATAGGACTATTTTTACTCTCTTACGCGGTGGAGACCCCCGCGGACCCCCCCTACGCTCGCCGCTGGGCCCGCTGCGCGGGGCTTCCGCTCGCCGCGGGGGCCCACTGCGTGGGGCCCTTTCTAGTATACATTTTTTAGTGTCGGGTCATTAATCTACAGCTTAATCCAGTTGCCGTGCTGATCCATTGATGTTTCGTCGTAGCCGGGTGCACGTCATCCCATCCAACGCCGGGAGCCGACGTCGAGATCCATGAACTCGGTGTGGCGCATCTGTGCTGAGTGTGGTGTACTTGCCATCAGTGTGGCGCACACACGACTGTGTGTGTGTGTCGCATCTGAAATATCCCGACAAACACGGAGTGGTACCTAGGCTCGAATCCAGCCTGCCTATCGAAATTTAGCTGTGTCGATAGACATCGACAGGCTTGCCTTCATAGACAGGTCTAAGTGGTACCCTGGGACTCGTTGGAGTGACAATTGTATTTTACAGATAAGAGATAATCATTTTTGATGGACGAGCTTGGCTTGACGATAGAGATTCCAGCCCCGCGGAACCCCACCTGTTACACAGAGTAGGGGATCACCACGGATCTGGACGTACCGCACAAATTAAATCTATAATAGGTAGACCCGAGTTAGAGCTGGTAGATTGTGCCCACGCTGGCCACAGACAAGCCACAGAAATCATGTGAATATATATATTAGTATATGTACTACCCACCCGTCGTGGTCCGTCGTGCCGTGACGGCCGTTGTTTCGACGGCCGTCACCTGATCAACCCGTCCCGTTGCCGTCCCGTATTGAACAATTGTTTCAAAGAGCGACGGTCCGGGTCGGCTACCCGTCGCACGGAGCCGCGACGGGTACGGCGCACAGCCCTAAGCGGATTGTCAATCACTTCAAGTTGTAGTAACAAGTTGTAGGAATACAATCATGCGATATTATGAATTGTATTCGGAGTTAGCCAGCGCCGACTAACCGTGGTGTCTCGTGACGAGCTTTTGGGGAGGAGGAGGATCGCTGTGATTATTCCACGAATTCGACCGGGTGTTTGGCGGCCTCCATTATTGCGGAGGAAGGTCGCAATCTCTGTGTTCCTTTTCGCCACTGCCACGTCCAAAGGCGTCTTGTTTCGATCTGAAATTCCATGAGCAGAGCGTCGTAATTAATCGAACGTAGCACGTACGAAGCTTGTTGACATCCGCGCCATTTCCCACCAAGAAGCGCACAATCTCTAAATAGCCGTTGGCTGCGGCATAGTACAGGGGTTCACCATCTCAATACCTGTTAGCGGACGGGCGTAATCATTCGAACAAAGTGCGTACCTTCACTTTCAACGTCCGCGCCGTTCTCGACCAGGAAGCGCACAACCTCTAAACGGCCGTACCGTGCGGCAGCGTTCAGAGGCATGCCATCTTAATGGATGTCAGCAGACAGGCGTAATCATTCGGACAAAGTACGTACCTCTGCTGTTTACGTCCGCGCCGTTCTCGACCAGGAAGCGTACAATCTCTAATTGCCGATTCTGTGCAGCACGGAACAAAGCCACATCTCAATGCCTGTCAGCTATGACAGTATTTATCACGCAATAATCCGTGCTTCATGCACCGTACTTGTTACGACAATTCGTACACAGTGCACCGTGCGCGAGTACGGAATAGTGGATCGTACTCCGTGGAACCGTACACCGTGGACCGTGCACACACCCCTGATCGTGGATCGTGATTTGTACTTTCTGTAATCACCATGTTTGCTTCGACTAGTTTTGGCGTGGTACTGCAGGTCGATCGTCGAACACTGTTGAACCGAAGTTCAACCGAAGTTCAACTGAAGATCATTTCCCGATCAATGGCGATCGGCCCATCAGCCCATCAAGCGCGCCCATCAGCCTTTCCCAGTATTCTCCTCAACGAGATGCCGTGTATTGTTACCTACTACCGACCCATCAATGCATCCCATCAATCCCAACGCCTCACTGACCATAGGACTGCTCTCTGCATCAACCCTTCAGGTACCACACGGGCGACCCACCCTCTGGATGTCAAAGTCATCCGGGCGAGCTTTGGGTACATGTATCTCTGGAAATCACACTTTGTCTTGCCTTCCCTTTCCATTAAGGCTCCAACCATTTAGTTTACGTTTGACGGACCCCTCAAACTATAATAATCGTTTAAAACCGTTTTAAATGGTAAATATGTAGAGTACTAGAGAAACACCTATTGGAATGTATATAACCCTGCCTGCGTAGCTCTCGAACACATGCTCAAACACCGTTTGGGCATATGATGCCCCGTCGGACCCGAGTTTGAACCAGACAGAGCCAAAGTGCGGATGCAGCACTAGTAAGTGTTAAGCAGACGTTAGGAAATTTGAGTTACAGGAATGTACCGGTGAAATTGCGAGTCCTTGCTGTAGAGCGCCAGCGGGCTCCGAGATGAGAGTCACGAGAAATCAAGCAGTGTCAAGGCAAAAATACACACCTGCCAAAGCGGACCGATGCGCCGCATTGCGGCATTAAAAGCTTCGGAGTTGTCGGCATTAGCGAGACGAGCTGAGGGACCGGCCTGGCGTTGCGGACCAGGTACACCCAAATGAGGGTGGTCGGAACGTCGGAGAATGACGCCCGTCGTGGCTGCACGGCTCTGCATGAAGGTGGCGCTGATGGATACTGTCATAATGAATGGTCAGCAAAAAATACTGTTTAACTGTTTGTTTACTAATTGTTTACCGTTTACCAGACCCTTCAAACTAAACGGTTGGAAATACCGTTTATAAACAGTTTAAATCGATTAAAAACGGAAACGGTTGGAGCCCTACTTTCCATTCCCACTTGAATTTTAGTTCCAAGCCTTCTCCATCCAGTCTTCCATCCTCATTCGTCCATGTAAACTGGAGAGAGAATACCAAGGAAGATGCGTGATCAGTAAAATCCCCCGCGGCCCCCAGTTAATCTATGCTGGACGCGCCACCTACCAGGTTGATGCTGTTCCGCCCATCAGGGTGATGGGCCGAGAGTTTATGATGAGTAAGCGGATGGGCAAGCCGCTTCAGGCGGAATTTGATGGGCGGAAGTGATGGGCAGTCTTCTTTGGGAAAACTCCGGTAGCTGTGCACACAAGTTGTATATTGCACGAAATGGGGTCGCAGTTCAATAGTGTAAGCTCAACGCCCGGTACGCACGTGAACCAGGGACAATAGCTATGGAAGTGAAGGAAAATCACCTGCACGGTATACGAAAGTGTACACAACCACGACATACGATGTACGAAAGTGTACACAACCACGACATACAAAGTACGATTGTACTCACCACAACCGTACTCAAGAAAGTTCCGATTTTTGGGTGAAAACTGCTTTTATAGTCAGCGGACGGGGAATCAATCGAATAAC